CCCCTCTGTTGGTACCGATAATTTCAGTCAGAAGCCTGCTGGGACCGTAATCGTTGCACGAGAGCACATTATTTCTCCCTCTCACGCTTGGCTTTGAGCGGATAATGCTCATGATTCAATCTCTTCGGATCTGTAAGTTAGTGAGCCCTCTCGCGCCCCTCCCCAGACAGAAGAGGTGCCGGGTCAAGAGCAGAGGTGATCGGCACTGACCCCCTCACGAGGAATTTCGACTTTTCAAAAAACGAATTCTCGTTCCTTAGATCGTTCTCGGCGAAGCTTCAGCGAGCCGGGGTCTCATCTTGAGCTTAGACCGAGGTCTCCTTTCCCTGGGGTGCAATGGAAGTACCGGGGCCATGAAAACATCTCGTCCCTTGCGTCAGAACGGCAGGAAAAACGACCGAACAGAAACAGAGTTCTTTGTCGGAATCGAGAAGCCATCCGAGCCAATTCAACGGCCTCCGGAGATCAAATGTCGAAATGCGCTGTTGAAATTCCGCACTGCCGGGGTCTCTCCTTTGTGGACCCGCGGGGCGAAGCGTAACATCGAGGTGATATATTTTTCCGTTCGTGATTCATTATTCATACTCTCAGTGGCGTTTGCTCGTTCCTTATTGAAAAAGTTGTAATCGTCCGGATGGGTTCGTCCTCAGGGAAATGTGCCGGAATCTTTTCACTCTTCTTCCGTACATTCTTTGCCAAATTCAGGCTCGAGCCTTCCGGAGACATACGAGTTGACACGGGACGTTGTGTAAGGACCGAAATTCCGTGACTCTCCGAGCCGAATCTCTAGCAGAGCGGGTGTCGGTGGGATTCTCGGTACACGGATCGTATCTCTCGTGTCTCCCCATTCGAGTGGAAAAATAATTCAAGAATCTGATACAAGCATTAGTGGAAATCCACGGCGAAACTGATAGAAGGATCTGCGCATGATCACCAGCGACGTCCGCGTCGCGTCGTGGGAATAGGGGGCCGACAGGATGCTTTCCAGGCTTCCCATCCAGAACACCAACTCAAAATGTCAAGGATGATGAGACTTCCGGGACCCCGAGACGGTTTCTGAAGTCCCACGAACATGAAGGAGCCGCTGACGATCCGATCGATGAGGGAGACCGAGAGCGATCGGTAGTGAGTCACCGTCTAGCAAATGGTATTTGAGTGAAACTCATCCGAAGTTGCCCTCCAACGCCCTTTGCAGCCTGGCCAGAAGGCCAGCTAACTGTCTAGCTCGCAAGCGAGCGACCTGGCAGGCGGGCAGAGCTACTGAGTGTCCGAACGGCTTTGCGTGGCCTGAATGTAAATTGCGCCTCATTTGAACAAGCATGACTTGGCCCGTTTGCTCAGCAGGCCATGCCGTCGATGAGAAGAGGGCGAGGTTCAGAGAGCTGCTAGTCGAGCCGAACACTGAGGTAAACGCGGACGAGCCAGAACATTTTGCATGCGAAGGAATGGAACAAAGAATATTGCCCGCGTTGTTCTAGACCTGTGGGCACCAGTTATATCAGCCGGTACTAATCTTGGAGACCCCTCTGTGGAGAAATCTTTTGCCTCACGAATCTCTCGAATTCGAGTCGAGCATAGATCCCACGGAGCGGGATGAATGATTCGTACCGACTCAAGGTGGCGAAATTTCTCATCATGTGGCAAGCTCGTTGGTCTCTGTGAGCGAGACCGGAAACTTCTCTTGATGTTCTCCCTTACCCCCCCCGGACTCGATTTCTACCCGGGACATTCTTGGATTTGCAGGAACATAGCCGCACATTCGTCACAGTTGCGTCTGGACACCGAACGTATTGGCTGATTTATTCGGAAATGGTAGTTGGAATGAAGTTCACGAAAGAATCGAGAGAGAATCGTGATCAAGACTAAGCCTGAAGGGAGAGGCTGGCATCCATCCCACCCGGTTGGGTGCTATCCGAAGGAAACAGATTGACGCACGGTGGAGCGTTCCTTTTCTCGGGAAACAAGCAATACGAAGCTCTTTTGTCGTTCGCAAGGCATACGGGCCGCCGCTGAGAAGGACGACGAAGACGCTCGTGTTGCCTCCGGCGGAATGCTGTTGATGGTAAAGATGCAAAGACTGACAAAGGTTTGCTCGGATGACCTTCCAAGCCAATGTCGAAATGTTGTTCTTGTATGCCCTCGTTTGTCCCCAGGGTGCCATGCCGTGCCTGGCTTACCAACGGTTTCTCGGTCCGGCTCGTAGGCACAATTCTCCACGGAAGAGTCCGACGGTATCCAATGGGAGGATTTGCCAGATGGCGGGGTTGGTAACCTTTCCCGCCGTCGCCTTTGCTGCCACCATAGAAGCTACCGCGGTTGTTGCTGGTATTATTGTAGCAATCGTCGGTGTGGCTTGTATTGTTGTTTGCCACGAAGCGTACGAAAAACTCAAACATCCATCCGTCGAAGTCCGAACCGCCGAAGCTTGCTCTTTCCCAGGTTTCACCCCCTCGCGTCATCTCGGTGCGTACGCGACTGAATTTTCTGTTCTGCCTTGACGCAGTGACGGAACTCTCATGTGTGATCCAGGTCGATGCCAACGGGACTGAGCGTTTCCACGGGACGATTTCTAAAAAAATAGTGGTCTCTAGGATCTTTTCTGCATAGAACTTCCATAGCATACCTAGCGCGAGCTTTCGCACGTCATCCAAGGTCCTCCATGAGTTCCGTCCGAGTATCTTAGAATCGCGAACGAATCAATCATTCTTTGATTATGCGTAAAGTGCTCAATCGATCATTTAAACCCATGTCGCCGGCCGGTGTTGATGGAGTGCAGCGAGTGATTAAGATTCTCACTCCATTGAGATTCTGCTGAATCGAAGCTACACGAATACCGTGACGAATGCTGTTGAGCGTCTCCCCCTGTTCCCCGCTCTCGCTCTATTCACATTCATGAATACAAGTTATCAGCTCTGATTCTCACCTCGACACGCAAACGCATTCGAAAGGCTCATCGATCCGACAACAAACGGCGCTCACTCCTCATATATCTGACCGTTGTATCCGCTGTACACATGCGACTTGCGATAACCCATTCCGAAAGAAGAAAGCAGAGATCTCGACAAGAAAGTAACTTTCTAATCCGGAATGGTTTCGCTGGCTTCCGTTCAGACATCGACCGGGTCTCCCCGACCGTGTGCGGAGTCAATGGTCTCGGTAGAAAAACGTTATTTGAATTCAACACAGAGCTCATTACGGAACCTCAATGTCTGTGTCTCAACCGCTAGACGGCTGCCGGTGATGCCGGCGTCGATGCTAGACTGTCTCATCCGAATTCAATCTTCTCAGATAGCACAAGTACTAGAGGGCGAACAGACGACCTTGTTCTCTACACGGTGGGGTTTCTGCCTCTGGAGCATTGTCGCAGCATGACGATGCAAAGACCCACGGAATCCATTCCAATCCAAACCCGATGTCCGAGAGGGGACCGACGACAAGCGCCTCTTTCTGGAGATAAAGGGAAAATCGTACCTTGATCGGTGTCTCCGCTTCAGTTTCCCGAGCGCCAGGGCCGCATAACTCGCCGCGCCGCAAGAGACTAAATCGCTTGGACGGGGAATATCGGGCATCTCGCGGAAAAAGTTCTCGCCAAGGAGGGACGCCTCGGGCCCGAAACGCTCCGGGGAACAACGCCTATATCTCGACTGCATGTAGCGATAAAGCGAGATGTAGTTGGCTTATTGGATGGGAATGAAGGTTTGTCGGGCTGAGGTATTAGGTACGCGTCCGGCCCCCAAACTTACAACGGCCCACCCAGAGAGCCGTGTGGTCACTGAGGACCTCCTTGTAGCCCTCTCACGGAGTTCCCTGCTTTCCGTCGATGTTTGGGTTGACTTGGAGACTCGTCGGGGGGAGAATTCGCCCCCACATTCGATCGACACATATAGTCTCCTCGGCCCGGGGAGGGGGCTGGGCTGGCATCAGCCTTTTTGGGAGACGCTTGTGAGCTACCTCCGTCCCGTAGGACTTGACCTTGATTCATGACGAGTCGTTAGCTCCCATGAAGCGGAAAAACGCCTTTCCGAACTCGGCTCGGCCAGAGATCATTGTTAGCAGACCGATGGAACTCCTTCAAGAATCGATGATGACACAGCATGCGGCTGTAAACATCGAGCCGAAGGGGAGGGTTCTCCCTCTGTTTACAGCTGCGAACTGCAGCGCATGCATGCAGAATGGACGACTTTCAGCAGAATTTAAGATATTCCGGTCTTGGGGAGCTTGTCAACAGCGGAAAAGACGAACTAAGCGACTTGCGAGCTGCCCATCAGTTCTCTCAGAGGCATTCTCACGGTGCGAGGCAGAAATCTCCGCATGCAACAGGCGGAAAAAGTCTGCGCTCCGCATTCCTTAGGTGCAGTGTCAATTATGAATCTTTCTCCTCGATGGCTGCAACAGCGTGGAATACCTCACTAACGATGCTGCCGAGTCGTTTCCTTGTTGCACAGAATGGAGAGCCCCCTCGCCCTTTGTATGAGTCGAGAGCTCGAGAATTCTCCTCGAATCCCAGCGTTGGCATCGCATCGTATGCCCGTCGACTCCGAATGAATACACGGGTCAGTGCATAGCACTCCGATGCGTCGTCTGTCACAGAATGTTTCTTAAGAGATTTTCGCTGCAGTTATGAGTCGTGATGTGGGCTAGAACTCCGCGATGACCGCTTGGGCCGTACGATGCAACGCATCCCGTTCTTGAGATCAGCGAACACCGTCGCCGACCGCCCTGTCCCGCATGAGAGTTTCTCTAGTCTCCGACCGTTGCGTCGCTTGTCACTCCTCTGAGGAGTTCGTTGATTAATCCGCTAAACGGGATGCGTGCATGACTCTCGGCCGGGAAGATAGGAACTACTACACCGTGGAAATTGTTGCGGTAACCGAGCTGTCCGGTGGAACAGGTAGACTCTCATCCAAGGAAGAGGAGAGTTTTGGGTTGATAAGACATCTTGGAAGATTCAGCGGAAAGAGGGAAACGAGCCTCTTCCAACAAGTGACCGTGTTCCTATAACAGTGACAGCTCGTTGAGTCACGAGCCCGTTCTTCCGGGACGCAGAAATCCTCTGCGAGGTGAGTCTCCTTCATTCCTTAAGCCGCACGAGAGCGACCGCCTTTGCGCGTGCCCGTATATGCTTCAGTTAGCGGTAGACTCGAGCGTCGTCGTCGTCGAATTCCATGCGAGTGTTTGAGGGTGTGTGCTCGCCTTAGAGAGGAGATTCAGCCGGACGAGGAAGCGCGGCATGCATACGTACATAGAACACATACGCATACACACTCCATCCGAACGACCGACCGACTGACTGACTGAAGCCGAGAAAAACTGCCTACGGTACGGTGCAACCCGAAACGACCGAGTTTACAAATCCAATTTGAAATCGTCATTCAGCTCTCTCACTGCCTCCGAGTGCGTTGTACCTTTTTCTGCTTTACGACCGACGCAATCTTTAATGACATTATGTTGCTTAGTGGAGGATAACTGCTCGTCGTAAATCTTCGCTCGTTTTTTTATGGTTCGCATGTGCTGCGGGAACATAGGCCTTCACCGCAGCCGAAGCGATGCGACGATTTTGCGTCGAGGTCCAGTTTAATTTCTGCGAACGGCGGCGTCGAACATCCAGCGACTTTCCTCTTTTTCCCGAGATACTTATTCAGAGGCGCAACGCCCGAGCCTTATCACTGTTTCGGAGCCTTGACCGGGAGCGAAACGCTCGACAGCCCTCTCCCGTTGTTCGGGACTCGTCCCCTCGATGCGACTCACGCGCGGCGAAAAGCACCGGGTTGCAGGTTCCCACACGTCGGGAAAATACCGTCTTGGAACGATTCCGGGAGAAACAGATGAAAGTGGAGCTATGACCGTCCACTGAACCTTTTTTTTTCTAGTTGAATAACCAGTGTAAATGAAGCATGGCCGGACACGTGTGCCGACGGTGAGCGGTCCGTGTATGTCATGTAGATCTCCGGAAGACGCGCGGGATCAACTTTCCAAGTGTGCGAATCTTCATTTCTGAAATGAGTTCAAGTCGAATGAAAGGTCTGAGACACATCTGAATCAGAGAGTGTCGGCTGGCTTTCGGACTGCCCCCGGACTGTCCTTGGAAACTTCTCGATTCGCTTACGCGTCTATGCTGCCTGCTCGGCCACTCCGCGGGCTCGATTCTCCCTCCTCTCTCGAACCGCCACGAGTTTCTCAAGTCTCTCAGTGCCGGCGTGCTCTTTTGACGTTCCGAGAGAAAGTCAGCTGTCCATCCATTCGGATTCGATACGAGTCCGTCCCTTGTTCTTTGCCCGGCGGTCGTATTGAATTTTCGAGATGCGTGACTTCGTCAGATCACGTTGGGGCGCGCAAGAAAAAGACGAAATTCGTCCGTCACGTGTTGCGATATCAATGACATCGATCGTCATTCCGTGCAACCGGTTCCGGACATCCTCGTTCTGCTCTTTTTCGAGTTCGCGAGAAACGCGCTCAAAACATCGCTTCACAAATGATTCCCATGTGTTCTCTATAGGAGCACCGTATCTGGACGACATGACCCGACGGTGTCGACGGTTGCTGAGTCGGTCGGTCGGTGGGTCGGCTGCTTGCTCGCTCGGTCCATTGCTTGACAGTCGACGATCCAGACGACGAGGCCGGCTTAAACAGCGACGAGACCAGCCCTTATTCCCGTTGCCTCAACTAACGCCCAGCCGAACACTTTCCCCCGTCTCAGACATTGCACGAACGCGCATAGTACCTACGGAGACGCCTTGCGCTCTTGCTCATTTTGCATGCTCGCCATCCAGCACTTATGCAAATCGTCCCTTTCGCCAAAGGGGTTATTTGCCTCTGTGCCAACTCATCTTTCACCGCAGAGTCACAACATGTTTGCGAACCTCTCCTCTGTCTACGATTGTCATCTTCCGGATTGTCACTGAGAGCCGCAGCTCCGGTAGTTCGAACCCTCGAACTCGGACGTCGTGTTCGCCTACCACTTCGGTACTAGGTTCCATAATTGACGATTGATGGGGGCTGAAGGATCGAAATTAGAGTTTCATGCTCTAGATATAGAAATGAATCGATTTCCGAACGCGGTCGGCGTCAAGACGCGATTTTCTTCTTCTTTCGTCCTTTCCGCTGTGACGAGAAGAATTCCATTGTTTCAATCCTTATATGTCTGTTCGTTTTGCCGTCAAGGCTCGAATTTCACGATAAGGCAGCTAAGAGGCCACACTGAGAGATCCAGGAAGAACCTCCGTTCGGTTTCCGCGGAGCGTGTCGTCTACATGAGATTCGTACGATAAAAAATTGTCGGAGAATGGAACGAAGAGCACTCCCGGCGTTGAGTCGCGTCGCTTAGTCTCACAATCGTGTAGAGCCAACGGCTCGCGATGTTTAGGGATTCCAGGCCCTGGAAAACTTCCTAAGGCCTATGTCTACCTCCCTCCCTCCGAGGAGTGCTCGAGGGCGTCAGCCGAACACACGGCGTGTCCGGTCTAAGTGTGCTTTTCGCGGGCCTATTCCGTCGCTTCGATCTGCAGAATATTCGGAAATTTCGCTCCCCGGAAATATGCGGCCCGAGCTGAGGGTTGCGAGTTCGATTCCCGCGGCTCGCTGATAATTGTGGTCTCCAAAATCAAAACTGGAGTGCTAGCCTCCAACGGCATCGAGGAAAAATTTTGGGCGCATTGCGTATAGACAGAATCGAACCGGATCAGAGGTAGTCGGACGTCACCTCTGAGCCAGCGCTATATGGCCCGAATGGTGTCGAAGAAATCCGAAACAGTTCGCAGAGGTTTCCCAGAACCCTCTTGCAGCATAGCCGGCAGCTGAGAGTTTCTGCTTACAAAAAGTTGATACCTCTGGGATACATCGTTCACTCCGATAGGGCCTCCTACCTTCGCTGCAGTAGAAGTGGTAGAAATGAATCATACCATCTATGCTTGTGGGATAGGATACTTGGAAACACAGGTTGCTGGGAGGAATATTTTCTCTCAATATTTTCATATTCTGTCGCAGGCTTCCGAGTGCCAGTGAGCGGATGATGGTTCCGGCGCAAAATTTAGCGATCCTGGTGCTGCTGTCGTGCACCTTGCACGGCGAGTGCGCGCAAAATGCCGAAACGGCTCATAACACCCTCAAAGAAAAGAAGTTTAAACGTGAGTTCGGCGAAAGCTGAATTAAATATTCTTACGGGCAGGTAGCGACTCGTTGCCGCTCCCAGAGTCCGAGTATCCAGATCTCTGTCTATGCTCGAGCTGGACGAATGAACCCTCGTGATTTTCAGATCCCTGCGACGGATTGGTCTGCGATGCGGGAACGCAATGCATCGTGAACGCAGACCGTTCCGCGGCTTGTGAATGCGTGAAGGAGTGTAAGCCAGAAACGGACGATCGTCGGAAAGTGAGTCAACTCCGAAGCCTAGAGAAAATCATGAGCGCTCCCATTGATCTGAGGCGGCCTCGTCGAGGACATCGATGGCGGCAAGTCCCTAATTGCGAATTCAAAGGCGGCCGGTCCCTCATTGCGAGTTCGAGGGAGGCGGGCCCCTTAGTGCGAGTTCGAAGCCGCATCTCTTTGGCGCCAGATGTTCCTCGTCGGAATTTCTTTGCTCTATCGACTGGCCCCCGGGCTGACCCCCAGAAACGATGCATTCGTCTCTTTCGGAGCCATTGAAGTGAATGGGGAGAATGAGAGTAGGTACTGCATCCGTAATAAGCTCCAATGTTGTTCCTTGGCAGGTATGCTCGAACTACAACGTAACGTTCGATAGCTTGTGCCACTTGCATCAGATGGCTTGCTGGTGTCGTCAGAGCGCCGAGGGCTGTATCGACGAGGAGTACGAACACTCGCACGTCGACTACTTCGGCACCTGCCGAGATATACCCAAGTGTTCCAGTGAGGAAATGTCCGATTTCCCGAGGTAGGCGGACCACAGCTTACGAAATTATCTCAGGAGTTGACTCGCCCGCGCCGCGAGCTAAAAGTTCAACGCCCCTCCTCTGATTTTCGTACTCTCGAGTTTCCGGTGAATTTCTAGCTCGTGGATAACAAAGGAGTCGCGGGGGCGGCTCAGCATTCGTCGACATGCGCGATGTAAATGCTGCTTCGGTCTCGGCTCGAGGAAAAACTCGCAGATTTAGAATGGGCGGGATCGCTCAGGCCAACGCGTGGCATTTGAAGCAATTTTTTTCGGATCTCGTCTTTTGAACTGTCTGCGGCTACGACAACGTCTCCAGCGACGCAAAAAACGCTTCGTATGCTTGCCACACCACAAGCATCCCGCTAAACAGCCATTGAAGGAGGAAGTCTACGACACTCCCAGCCAGCCGCTTGTCGCCGCGGAAATCAGGCCGTTACACTTTTAGGCGGAACCATACAGACAGTCAGCCAGCCACCGCCGGTCGACTCGGTGTCGGCGAAGTACGACGTTGAGGACGACAACTGCGGTATTTCCGTTCCGTAAGGATGTCCCCACGGAATGTCCCGTGGGGATGCTCCGAAGGGTCTTCCTAAGGATGTTCCGAAGCATATTCCGAGAGATGTTCCGAAGAGCCCTCCCGATGCAGACTCACAGCGAATCGGTCGGAAGAACGCCGACGCCTTAGCGGAAGGAAGGGTTTTGGCAGTCGCCTTCGGGACTGACACGACTGGCGGAGGCTGTCGCCGACCCCCAGGAGAATATCCGCGGCGCGGCGTTAGGAATCGGTCGCGGTCAGCACCCCCGATACGGTTCCGCACCGGGGCCGCTTATTCTCCGACCCAAGCTGCGTCGTCGTCGTCTGACGAGCGTACGACGGAAGGACACGGAGTCGAAGGGTGGTGTTGTAATTGCTATGCTTCTCGACTCGAGCGCGAACGGATCGCACGGTGCGCGGAGCGAGATCGTCGACGTCTCCATTCGAGGGGATCGCGTGGCAAACGTTGACAAAGACCTCCGTGTGCCGTCGCGTGGTAAGGAGCCGCGCGTATGAACGGACGTGCGGAAGCCATTGCTCGTTTCATGTCGTAGACCGGTGGGAGGGAAATTCAAGAAGCTTTACGGCTGCCTCGACTCAGCTGCGTCGCTCCATGAATGCTGTATGTCCCGTACCATGCCGGACCGCATGATAAGCCGCCGCGCCGGAATGGCGTCGAGTTGCCGCCGGCGGGCGTACTTGCGAACTAACTGACTTGGAGGCCCGAAAGGAAGATCATTCGAGAACAATGCCCGCTGTCCTCAGGGTCAAGTACGAATGCCGATGCACGACGCCGGCAGAAGCGAATCATGAAAGACAGCGGCCCGATCATTTTCGGATCATTTTCGGATCATCGCCGCCGTCAAGCCGCGAGACACATTCGAACGGACGGGGCTTCTGTGAAAAATGCAACCAGTCAGCCGAAAGTGGTACTACGATTTTCTCTGCGGCTCTCGGGCCGCCATTGTTACAGTGTACTCAATCAAATGGAAGCGAGATTCCGCTCTCATTTTTAACAGAATGTGAAGAATTCAACAAGCCGCGCTCAACTCTGCCAAATTGCTCGTAGTGGTCAGAGTCGGCGGCCGACGATAACGCCAGGCGGCCGACCGTCATGCCACCGGGATCGTAACCAGCGAAAGAAAAAAGGGTGGAAAAAAACGGGAATGGCTCCATGCCGGAGCGACATCCATGCTGGCAGGACGCCAGTAATTTGTCTTTATTATTTTGCCGCACATCATTGCGATCGGGGAACTTTGGTAGCGTCAATATACTACTGTAGTCATATTTTCACACTCACGCACCCGGAAACCCAGAATAGCGGCAGCTCGTACGCTGGAACACTTTTTCGATCATGGGGAGCACTTTCAGTGAGCTCGACGGGTAAAACTTCCCGCAGTCGGATAGGCGGAAGGAATGGCTGCGATTTCCGTTCGTGAATGTAGGACTCGAGGAAAGCCCTCTCTCAGGAAGATATATCGAGGACAATACCATAAGGCGGAAGAGGAAAAACTCAAAAATGCGCTCTTTCAGGAGGATGCGCGAATGGCTCTTTAACATCATGAAGGATCTTGCCAAGAAGAAGGCTCTGAACGCGAATTACGAGAAGCTGGAGAGGCAAGCCGAACAGAATCATGGTCGTCAGTGGGTAAACGCAGTCATCTGGAAATACTGTGACCTTGACAAAGAGCCCACGAACCGGTGAGAATAACCAGATCACGAGCGAAAATTTTCGAGCGACTTCCTCCCTGACGATGATCGATACCAATTTTGCTCACGATCATTCTGACCAGAGACGTTGCCCTTAGGTTCGTTTCGCGACACGAACTCTATCCTCTCAAAGCGCCTCTAATGGTTATGGAACATTGCATCGCACCTTTCTTGGATTCTTGCGATGCTAACAACGACCATCAGGTAAATCATCGACTCGAGGGTCCAGGTCTGAACGAGCCTGAGAAATACTTGATCGAGTGAGTATCAAGCCTAATAATGACGGACCCGTCTAATTATGTGACTCATTGTTTCCTCAGGTAACTCTTCAAGAGTGGGGGACCTGTCTTGGCCTCGAGGTCGACGAAATTCAAGACAAATGCCAGAGTATGCACAATGGAAGAGACTTCTGATGCGACTGCGGGATTCCCCCGTCCGACCATGCTGGATTTCTATCGGTCAAACATGGAATACTTATCGCCATATCGGTGCTCTCCGAGAGGCTGCTTCCTCCTCGGAATAAATTCTTGCTGTGTCTCGACTAAGGAGGCTTTGATATACTTCAAGACAACTGCGATTCTTTGAAGATATTTGAGGACGGGGAGTTCTGCTGTCAAGTTCTATTCCCCCTGGCAGGATCACTGGTCGGATCATCCGTCCCTGAGGGACGTAGTTTTTCGGAGCCCATTGATGTCTCATGCACGCAGGAAATCGTTCTCCGACTACAAGCGAGCGGAAGTTTTCCGTCTCCGACTTTTCGAGCCCGAGGAAGAATTTCGGTTTCCTGATGCTCGATCTGGAGAGAGATCGCCAGCCCCACGATCGACTGTCCTCCAGTTTGAGGATCCAGCCCATTGTGATGATTACTTGCTACGTGAGAGGTGCACGAACCTGAGCCCGAGTTGGATCTCATGATCGCTTCCGAAAAAAATTACGGGTAAAAGCAAGCTCTGTCGCGAACGTGGTAGTGACCGAGTTTATGAGCTGAATTCAGCTCCGAGAACGATGCAGAACTGGCATTCATATCATTAAATTGGAGATAGCTCAGCAAGAACTGTGCGGGATATCGTGTCAGGGTCAGGGAACGATTACGGGTTACGGGGTTCCCGCGAACTGAATTCCAGACACAGCGGCTCGAAGGTTACGATCCAACCCTCAATCGGAGCAGTAACGACAAGGGTGATTCTTTTGGGGCACCCCTCTCCCACAGAAGTTATGGGTTGAAATGGAAGAGCTCTTCCCCGAATCTCCGGCTTCAGCTTCTGATCCTTGAAGCAGTGATCCATCGTGTCACGATCTCAAGACCAGCTTCAACCAGGGGATCCGCATGGTACCGATAGGGCGGGAAGAACTTCTCGTCACTTTCTCCAGCTCTCCCGTTTCTCGACTCGTGGTTGATGAAAATCAGGGCTCTTCCCGTCTCTGAGCCACTTCGTCTTCTTCGCAGCGAGCAAGCAAAATTTAATTTCAGACCAATCCGGTTGCGTCTCGACTATTCACTCCCAATGAAAACGGAGAACACTGTGACCTAGGACTTCCCGAAGCTCCCCACCGTGCGAGAAGAGCACCCTCGGAAACGAAAAGTTGGTACATAGCAGCGTCTCGAACAGCGATACACGAATACTCTTTACTCGTGAGCCCGCACAGATCTGAGGTGATCCCGGGTCCCTGATCTCGAATGCGTTCGCGGAGGGAAAAGGAAACCAATGCGGGCCGTCCCCGCGTATTATGAATTTGTTCCAGTCTCCCGAAACTCCCCTTCCCTCTTGAGCGGAGCGTTTCCATGTGTTGGTTCCACTTCGAATGTCGCTCACAACTCACAACATGACCATGCTCCCGAGCGCATCTCATTCTAGACTCTCGAGCCATCATGCCCGACGTCGGCTGCGAATGCCAATGTGTCGAGCTCCGGGCTCGAGGGATATTTGGGTCTGCATTCGTGCATGTGCAGTAACGGCTCTTCGATTTAGCGATTGCGCTGACTGTATCCGGTGTGGGTTTGGATCAGATCCGTCGAACAAAACTCTTTCGGGCTGGACCTGGATTACACGGCCAATGTTTGACGTCCCGGGTACTGCTACACACATTGCTCCCAAGGACGGATCCATAGAGCAAATGTACCCAGGAGGATCAAGACCTTCCGCGCGAGCGACGTCGTTGCGGCTATGCACATTTGCACGAGGAGTGACAAATGCGCTAAGCACTCGACCACTCGTCGGATCGGATCCATCGATTGTCATGAAGCATAGCCGAATGTCTAAACGATTTCGGTATCGAGAACTCGATTTCGGGATGCGGAAATCGCGATAGGACGGGCCTCCTAATCGCGCGTGGATATGGAGGCAGAGTGGGCTGGTTCGTCGATCTTTGGAACACTGTACGTTGATCTTCCTATTTCCTATCCTTATTGTGTCTCTGCCTGGACGATCGCATTGCAGGCTCGATTAATCGGCTACGTATGATGAGTCGAAACAGGTTTAGGCAACAATCGCAGCAGGCTGGCACGCTGCTGAAAGATCCATTGCTATCGACTCAGCTCCTTGGGTCAGAGAAAGGGAGGGGAACATTCTCCCTGAAGACAGCCGGCGGAGGCATCGACGATCTGTCGATCGGGGACCTCTTCGAGGGATGAAGATCTCCCATGTTTCTCGGACTCAACGGAGAATGAGGAGTGCGAGCTGACTGTGTCCGCGAAAATTTTATAAAATCAGCTTCGGGAGGTAGATGAATGGGAGAGCGGTGAAGAGAAGATCTGAACCTCGGAATCGCTCCGTAGGTCCAGCTGTCCAGAACGTGAGAGTTCCGCGACAGCGGGTTGAGAAGCTCGATCATGAGCGAGCGATGCAAAAGTGCTACACCGATAAGATCTGACAAGAAATAAGTTGATCGCTTGCGAATTCGGTGGGATCTATAAATAATTACTCCGCCGAAGCACCGGGCATCGTCCATGGTGTGAGCTTGGCATCGGGCAGCGCCCATTTAGCAAGATATTGCTCGATCCCGAGGGAGACCCCGTGCGAAAAGGGGTGATCGCGGCGCCGCTCCGGAAGCTCCGAGTATGCTCGGAGTTTCGGCAACTGCGACACTCTGAAAGCCCTGCGATCTGTGGGACGGTTTCGCCTGAGTCGCGCGAAATTCGATCATCTTGATGAAGGAATAGAAATTGAGAAGAAGTACGTAGCTGTTGGGAGGAGTTTTATGTTCACTCGACTGGGGATCACGGGGAATAATCGCAATCGAGAATCGCACACTGGGACCTGGCCGAGACTTGCTCTACTATATCGAGGCTGTCAGAGGTTCGTGGCATTCTCCAGCACTGGGGCTAATCGCTGATCGCTGCTCATCGCCGGGCTCTTTGAGAACAGGGGACCGTCAATTCAATGATCGATCCGATTGATTTGGAATCGGTAGCTTAAGGAGCCGGAAATCAATTATGGGACGAGACACTCAGGACTCGTTAGGATCATATCTGGATTGTAAGGATATCCGTGAACGGCAGATCGCACTCGAGACTGACCAATCTGTCGCCAGATGAACTTCTCATCGCCATGCTTCAGCGCAGTTTCAGACGCAGATGACGTTGTTCCGCACGCTTTGACTCAGCCACAAAAACTTCAGGTGACGACCTCTCACACCCGCTGCCGGGGTGAGAGGTGTGGTCATTGTCAAACCGCCGCGACTCGCTTGGCTCCTGCGGCCTTTTCGGATGCAAAGATGAGTCACTCGACCATCGTAAGCAATCCGACTGGTCGACGATCATCACCGACTTCAAAAAGAGGGTCATCGTAGAACAGCCTTGGACGAAAACTTGCTTTAACGAGAATCGGACGCCAGGAACATCGTCCGGAGGGCAGCGCGTCTGTTATCACGCTAGAATTTTTCCCTCTGCATAAACCGGGGACATGGAATCTCAGTTCAAAGCTCTCAGCTGGCGTCACACCGATCCCTCGGGGTTCGATGACATTTTTCGGGTGCATGGTCGGAGGGCTGACTCAGGGGGGTAATTTTCTGTAGGCTTTAATGTTTTCCAGTGTAGCGGGGAAATTCCGACCGAGGCTCGAAGTGACTTTTGTTCTCATCCAATGCGGGACATAGCAGCTATTCCGAGCAGTCACCCTCTTATCATCAAAATCAAAATCCATTGCGTGTATTATACGGTGGCACCTTCCGCGAGAAACGGCTCCATTGTTATAGTTTTTATTACGCATCTTCCCTCCTGAAGGCGACGCAGGGTACTTATTGTGTCGCCGTCACACAAAATAGCCAGACCCTCTACAAACATATTTCGTCGGCAACTTCATTGCTTTTTCAAGCGCAATCGCTCGTTCACGACTCACAAAGGACTCTTCCATTTTTTCTTTGAGGGAACTTCATCAAGGATTTCGGGCTTACGACGATCATGAACCAAGATTATCCGAATATTTGAATCCGCCGCTGGTCATTGAAAAGCTCGGGCTTTTTTCCCGGACGACTCACTAAATCGTTTTCACTGAGGAAACGGCACTCGGAAAATATTAGTCCCTTCATCGTGAAACATGCAGAATCTGCCTGAAGCTCACCGTGCGTAGGATGAACTGTGTCGTTCAGCAAGACGAATTCGTCAAAGCCTTTGACCATCCACGAGGGAGAGAAAATGGAAGCTTGTCACACCCTCAGCCTCAAGAGATATCTATCAAGGAATCTTCGAATACGCCTCCGGACCTTATTCATGACGTCGCATCTCCCTGGAGCGAAATGCTTGCCCATCAATGCTTTCAAGATGGGATTCGATCTTTGAATCGCTTATGAGACCTTACTCATCGATCATGAGGTGGACGAAATTATTTGAGTTTATAGCCGAGTCCTTCCTTCCCTGACAGAAGAGTTCGATCTTCGGACAGAAGGTCCCCCTCTCTCAAGCGTCCACGATTACCGATCACGGAGACGGCGGCATCCCCGATGTGAACCGCGACCCAGTGGCGTAGCGTGCCTCGATGATGCCCGGGGCGGAATCCTGAAATTCCGTGCCGGGACCTCGATATGATGCTCCCCCCCTCAGATTTTTTTCAAAAATTTCCCAAATCCGTAATTCCGTGATATGGATACCGATGGAAATCAATATAAGTCTTCATTCATAATTCATTACGACCGAACCTCGAGGAATATTTGGCTTTCTGGTACTTCCATCGAGCATTGTGATGCCCCCGGAGCAGTGGTGAACCGCTCCCCCTCGCTACGCCGCTGCCGCGACCCCCATCTAGCGATCTCCACAAGGAGAATCGGCACGGAGAATATCATGAGGGGAGTCGAATTATTGAGAAATTAGAGTTCTGCCGAGATGATGGATGAGAAATTCTCTCGAGCATACGCAGGGATTAATATCATTTCAGAACACAAGAGGTCAGGAACCCATCGCGATGCCAAGATGCTGCCCGTGGGGATCCGCCGCCGCAGGCTATAGTAGCCTCCCAAGCCTTATTGCAGATGCGCCTTGGCCGAGCAGCCTTCGGTCGAATCGAACAATTAAGGCCTATTACGGAGCTTGGCACGAGGGATCTGATAGGCGACTCTCCGGACCGATTCCTCAAACTCTAGTGATGAGATATTGTAGAAGAAAGGAGGACAGCTCTCGCTTGTAGCAGAGGCTGAAATTCTTTTGAGTGAAGAGCCCTGTTCTTCTGTCTGACATCATCCGTATGCTCTCGTCGATGAGAACTTCTGGGTGCGCCAGGGACGCCAGGGATCTCGGTCACATTCGACTGAGTCGAGAGTCTAATCGAAACGTGTGGAGGTGGGGAAGAGGCACTGGCGTGTCGGCCGGGGAGGGGGAGAGGCACGCTGGGTTCGACCCGGGCATGGAGGGTTCGGGACATAAGAATGCCCCGGAGAAATGCCAGAAGAGTTATGCGGAAAACAGTTTCGACTCATTGGGTCAAGCTTCATCGGCTTTTCGAAATGCAAATCGGAAGAAGAGAGGTTTGATAATTTTCGAAAATGTATCCAGAGGGATTATTGAGTTGAGGTTTCAGCCTGAGAATTGAGCATCAGAGGTACACGGTACGCCGCGCCCTTTAGTGCGGCTTTGCCCGGGGCGGGAACGACGCATCTCCGTTCTTCCCCGATGCCCCTTCAGTGAAGGTCCCGAAGCTCTTCGAAGCCATAGATCACCGTAGACCTCCTTACCGAACGCTTTCGTCAGACCTGGTGAACACACGCCTGTCCAATCATACGGCAGCCTCGGAATGGCTACGCCCGTGGAAAGTTCATAGGGACCACTCTGGGAGCCGCTCCCTTGGAAAGGTCCCCCGATTATTCTCGATTTTCCACGACCCTCCTTCTCTTATCGAATTCCCCTCTCGCAGCGCGTAGGATTTGCCAGGTTCCTTCCTCAAATTTGGAGGAGTCGAGGGATTGCCGTCCATTTTATTGCTACTTGCTTCCGGATCCGCTGTCCACTTCTATAGTGCTTATTGCGCATGATCTTCCCGCGACGGAGCCTGTCCAGCAAGCTTCTTGACTGGTAAGGGTTCCCCGTGTGACTGTGGTCAGGCAAGACTTCGAGGACAGATATATATCTAGTTCAATCCAAGGGCGTACGGTTCATCGGGATGATCGGGGAGAAACATGAGACTTCCCTCATGATTAGGCGCGTGGAACCGAAAACTCCGAGCGACGAGTTCTTCTGTCGATCATTGTCTTACTTCCAGGCTCTCCTGTCGCCTCTGCAGTGGCCCAGCGTTTCGCGACTGTCGTTCGAGAGGTCGGGGAGAATGTTTTGCCCCCAAGAACTATGTCCTTGTGACGAGCGGACTTTTTCGATCATGAACAGTTTCAGCTCAGATCCGACGCTTCTCGAACTCCGGCCCGTTCGTAGAAGGAGAGAAAACCTCTGTCTGAGTTAGACTCCCAGCGTCAGCCGAGATTTATCGAGCTGGTTGAAGGTCCGATCCAGCGCGAGCTGAGGGCGATCCACCGAGGACCAGGGCTGACTATGTGACCGTCGGCGTCGGTGGGGTCGAATGCGAAGGCTGAGAAAAAGCGGATGGCGCCGCCCGTTTCCGCTCGAATTCCCGATAAAGATCACAAGCATCATCCCTCCGCTCTCCCATCGACAGATTCCTTTGTGGGGAGTTTTGCCCCGCGTTTTTCCGCTTCCATTTCTCATTGAATTTCCTGGAGTGATTTCGCGCGCAATCCAGAGTCTACTTCCGGGCATGCCAATATTGTCGAATAAATCGAATGTCTACTCTATGAAGAGCCACGGTCGTGCCGACGGCGACGATAACGACAACAACGGAGGCAGCAGCGGCGGCGCCAGTAGCAGCAGCCGAACAACGAAGGAATCCTCCTCCTCGACAACGACGGCGACGACGACCAGAAAGCACCACCACCAGCGAGTGGAGTGAACGCGAAGAGCAGTAGCGGCAGCCGACACCAACCAGCAGCAGCAGCGATCGTAGTGTGCGGGAGAAGCAGCAGCGACATCACAACAAAACTCGACAACGAACGAACGCCGATGCTGCAAGTTGGGAGTCTTCACGTTCCCATCGGCGACAGTAGCGGATTCGCGACGCGTGAATTCCGCACTGGCAACTGAAGTCGAAGTGACTGTTGTTGTTGACGGCGGTGGCGGAGCTAGTGATGAAGGTGGTTGTCATCGTCGCGTGAAGTGAATTCGTCGGTTTGCATCCGTCCACCCAATCGCCCATTCGTCGTCCCCATACCCGTTCACTTATCCATCGACCGACCGAGCAAACGAACGACCCGTTCATGGTTCTGCCCACTGAGCGGTCATTCATCAGCTAGCGATAGTTCATCATTCGCCACCATCGAGCAGCAGGTTCTACCGTCGGTGTGTTGTTTCACGCTACGTGAAACTTGCCAAGTTACCAAAATGCGTCGTCCACAAGTTTTATGAGTTCCTCCCCGAACATCTTCCCGGCGATGGTCGGTCCAGACATCCGCCGGTCCATCCATCCATTCATCCATTCATCGAGAAAGTGAACAAGTGTTTGAGTTGAGCGTGTGAGCGTTCGGGCAAGCTTAGCCGTAGCTTCTGACTGGCCGACAAGTAATCAAGCTGACTTAGCAAACAAGAAGGCAAGCAAGCAACCGAAGACTCGTCCAATAGAATCCGTCTGAGAAGCTCGAACGAAAAAAAAACTTGGAGCTCCGAGTGCGACATCATTTGTGTGTTCGTTTTCACGCTCAGCAGCGTCCGTACAGTAGCGAACTGTGCCCGACCATTCGAATTCACTGACTGGGCGACAGGCTGATCGTTCGTCGGTCTCTGGTTGTTGTGATTTTGGATGTCGGTGGAAGCACTGACTCCTGGAATAAGCCGTCTTTCTGCGTTTGTACAATTATAGATTATAGACGGCAATAGCGACGAAAGAAGCATCAGGCAGTCAGTCAGTCAGTCACTCGACCACTAAGGTCGGCGCGGAGGAAGGAAGGCCGGGCGGGCAGGCTGGCTGGCGGGAGGATCAGCCGACAGGCAGGTTGCACATCACAATGGGAGCCTGTGCGGTTCGTTCAGGAGCATCGTACCTTGATGCTTTTGCCAATGATCGCCCCAGATTGCGATGAGCGTCGAGAATGTGGAAGCCGAAAATTTCACCCACATTTGTAGTGGCCGTAGGACTAACTCAAGCGAAGGCGACCACTGCCACTCCACAGAAGGACAGCTAGGAACGAAAAAAAAACCCTCGGACACAGCAACGAATCCTCACTGTCTGAGCTTGATCTCCTCTAGAAACGTCAGAAAAATCACCCCAGCTGAGAGTGCTTGGTGTTCTAGAAGTGTGGAACCTTCGGAGTAGACTCGACGACAGACCGACCGACCGACCGACTGACTGACCAGTCATTCGATCGGCGGCTCCGTAGAAATACAGTCCCCGAATTCACTCTGAAACATCGCAACGCTCACTAGCGACTCATCGATACAAGTTCGGTGTCATAAACTGTGCGTGGAGGTTCGGTCCTATAAGTGTGTGAACTCCTCTCGGACGGAAGATCCGAACACGGAGTCTTCGTTTTCCCACCGATTAGTATACAAGCCGACGCACCATGCATTCATTCTATTTTGTGAAGTGAAGCTCTCCGATCGCCATGGCATGGTCTCTAGGCGACCAAGTTCGCACCATCGAGAAATTGGCAGTGATTTTCGGTAAGTTCAAAGCATCCTCAGATACTATCGTCAGATCAGGGAACATCGTGTCCGTGGAGAGACGGTTATACTGTTAACCGAGACCACCCCAGCATCTATCAGATTCGGGAGCCGTAGGTCCGAGCGAGTCCGGGGCCGGAGACACTTGTTGATCATCCTGAGTTATTTAGGCGCGATTGCTGACTTTCTCTCGATGAGTCATTCTTCCCGTGGCGAACCAGCCGCGTACGTGGGACTGTTTTTCGAAGTCTCCAGAGAGCTCAGTTGTTCTCCTGAAACTTCAGAGCTTTCCAAACTCATAAAATCAGAGGAGTCTTTGGAGTAGCTTGCTGAGCGGTTGAGATCCATCGTCCGCTGACGCGCCCACCCGCGCGATATCTTCGCGGTCAACTCCGGTCCAAGCTGTTGCTCACTATCAGATTCTCGCTACTTCGATGGAATGGGAGATGATTCTTCACTCGAGAGGATATTCCGTTCCGTGAGAGAACACTCGAGCGATGAACTCATATTCGAATTCACTGTACATATCTTCCATCAATTTATTCGTCTAGTCTAGAACCATCGCGCTACGCGACATTATCTTCAAACGTTTCAGTATCGGTTCATTGTAGAGAAGTTTCCCCTTCTTGGACTATCATTCCTCAGCTTTGCAGTAAAACAACGACTGCAACGATTCCCTCCTGCGTGAGATAAAAGGTGACGCGCTCTGTCGTGTCAACGCTCGTTTTTTGACACCTCCATTTACTTAGTCGCCTGACGGACGGTCCTCGATACTCGAAATTGGTTCGCTCACGGGACCATTGGATCTCATGGTCTGAGTCCATAGATGAGCTCATTCTTCGCGGTGATAACAATGCTGCGTTCGGTCAACCGACGGCCTCCTGGAGATCTGTCGGACCTGAAAAGGTTCTTGACGTACCGTGCGAAGTAAATTGTCGTATCAGGAGGATATGCTCTTTGATGGACTCTCGCCGCCCTAGGCCCAAATTCGCGCTCAGTCTTAAATTCACCATTGGGAATTTCCAATTTTGAAGATGAAAGAAATCATGACTCTCCACTGCTGGACGAGTTGCCGCTCATCGATCCTCACCAGCAGAGTAGATGTTCGCTTTCTTCAACCGGTGGAATTTTCTGCCGCGTAAATTGAGAATTTCCTCCGGAACCAGCAACGCCTTATATGAGCTCGTCTGCGCGGTCGGCTTAATGACCGCTTGGTCGGTTAGCCGAGCTGCTTTTTCTCCATCAGCCCTTCGTAGGGAAAAGTTGGCCGTTACGTTACAAGTGCAGCGGGATATCCATCAGAGATAAGAGAACTACCATAATCGTAAGAATGAGAATTTTCTCGTCTTCGTGCGGAATGTCTCGCCTTTCCCAAAAGAGGAATAGCGAAGCCAAGTACTAGTCCACGAAACGACGCTTCCGTGAGCTTGGCTCAAAGCTATGCATGACAAGTCTAACCCCGCGCTGACATCCTCCCGAGATCTCGGAGGACCGAGAGTGGTCTCCGTCGGCTGGCTTTTCGCTGAAAAAAATGGCGACATATATTCGGCCGATAGAGGGGCAGGCGGTCGCCTCGATATTCCGTTAGCATGCGACGACAGCTCGCCCGGGAGAAGCCTCCGGCAAGAGGGATATCTGCATAATCCGGCTGTTTTCTGGAGTGGAATCCCATGGGGACCCGATCAGTATTGCGGCGCCGTATATCGGAAATCGGTATTGCCCATGATCCTTGACTTTCTTTGCTTGTATCGAATCTATTTCCGGGAGGAAGCCATCGGGAATTCCTATCCGCTCTCAATGTCACTGTACGAATGTGGTGTGCAGAGATCCCGACCGATCCATCAGAGCCAAGGGTATCCATCCGAGCGTGTTCCTGTTGATGTCTTCGCTGTCGGGAGTGAATATCATGAAACCGAGACAGCTGGGAGATGTGCTCGAAGCGGAACCGAATTAGCGGGAACTCCACTCGTGTCGCTCGTGCACCCTCCGTCGTACCGAGTTCCATTCCTTCCTCCGGGGGCTGATATCGGCAGCGAACACGTCAGGTGCTAGCTAGCGAGCAAGCGACCAAGACTATCAATAGTTCGAGCGGATGCCCGTGGTGACACAGGTCGAAGATGGATTCGAGTCAGGCCGACTAGTATGGAACGCGTTCCTCTCTTCCGAGTTCGGATGAGCTACTACGACTTCGCGTGCGCATTCGCATTAGCTCTCGAAAGTTACGACGGCTCCGGTGGATCCTCGTCTCGAATAGAATATTGGTTTCCATCGAGAAACTTCGCGCCTACGAAAAATCGAATCAGGTCCTGAACCTCCTGCCTGGGTTTCCGGGTCGTTTACCGCTTCATCGATCTTGTCATGATCTCCCCTCTTCCCTCCTTATTCAATTGCTCGATTCTTCCGTAGATGCTGAGATTGTCATTTTCCCCCGTTTCCGTCCTCATCGTGCGTTTATCAATACCGGTTCGTGTCTCTTCCACTGACGGATGGAGGTTTCTCTTCCAGGTGAGGCGAAAAATCTGCCACCGAAAGGGAGCTGCAATGCCGATTCCGGGAGGGACGTGTACTGCTCCCTCAGACTCGATCAGGAAGAAATTTACCGGACATCCGTTTTCGAGAAAACTCTCAAGTAAGTATTCGTGAGGTGCACGAAGTCGAGGCAGAACTCCCGAGACATTCACCGGAACCCTTCGGTAGTTCGCCTGTCCGAAGCATCGTGTTCCTTTACGTCGAACGAGCAGAGCTCTGTCGCAGCAGAAACACAGAATCTTGCCGAGAGGTTCGCGAATCGCGATCCGTGACGGACGAATCCCGAATCGCTCCCGCGCGATTCGAATGCGAGTGGATGTTGTCAAATAGTACCTGTTAGCGATTCCAATGCGTCTTCCAGTGCGCGAACGAGTTCGGAAAGGCGTTCTGGTCTGACCGTCCATGTTAATTGGTCCTCTCTCAGACCGAATCTCAGAGCTCTATTTCGGGAAGCGGGCGAATAATCAGCGAGCTAAATCAGGAGACAGCGCTGCTTCGGCGAACAATGAACAAATGCGCAGGATCTAGAGCCCTTCGATTTGCATCTAGAAGTCTGCCGAAATCATCCGGTCGAAGAGTTCTGTGGGGTCCTCATGTTCAGAGAGCCCCACCATTCCAGATTGGGCCCCACCCCGTCTCGTACCGGATCTTTTTCATGCTGAGGTCTCTCAGAGAAGCGATCGCGATTCAGACGCAATCACGCCTTCTTACGCCGAGTCAAATCTATCAGAAATGCAGTCGACATAGGGTATGCATTGGAAGCATCAGCTCGACACAACCGGACCGGGGATAGTAGGTATGGGTCGCAGACACGGAATATTGCAGCTGCTGATTCATGATCGGAGTCGGCTGAGGGCTTCGGTCCGGGGACTTAAATTTTCGGACTAGGCCGTGTATCTTCACAGGCAGAGAAGCCCCTCCATCATCGCTGTTTCTGATAGGAAGCAATTAGACGGACCACTGCTATCATGACGAGAATAATGATACGAAAAAAATGTCGGAGCGTTGTTGACGATATTTTATCCTGAATGGACCCGGAGAAGAAAACCGTGTCACCCGGAACGCAATTGTGTTGTTAGCTAGTCGGTCGCTCGTCCGTCCGCTGCGGGTTCCTTCCTTTTTTCATCATCTCCTTGTTCTTCGGACTTGTCATTCGAGTTTCGGGACGAAAACAAGGCGGCGACGAATGACAAAAGTCGGAACTTCTCATCACCATGAAAGTAAACGTCGTTCGGCCTCGTCGTGGCCTGTTTAGCTCCTCGGGGAACGGCGCAATTTTCTCCGACAGAGGAAGGAATATTCATTTTCTCGCATGTGGTCAATGCTCGAGAGGCTATGGCGTGACGTTCTTTTTCCGGTAGGTCGCCGAATACGTTTGATTGGAATGTCAACATGCCAACATTTCCCCATCGGTCTGTTTTACGAGTAAGCTGGAGACCAATCGATCGATCCGCACGCTTCAGTTTCCCGCTTCCTTCACTGACTCACGGCCTGTCGAGCGAGCTCCGTCTCGTGGCCTGCAGTTGGGAACATTCTCTCCGACAGCCCGTGGGACGCGAGTCGTATTTAAAGGCAGATATTGGTAGGGATCACCGAGTGCGAGAACCTGGGATTAGTCTGGTCTTTTCGCGGATCGAAAGAAGAACGGCTTAAATGGAGCTTTCGAATTTAAACGTTTCCTACCGGAGCGACGACTTTTTTTTAGCGAGCCGGCGTCTTCCCGTCGCCATTGAAGGACTTTTCTGACGAACGCTGGCTATACGTGTCCACGAAGCGTGACGTGGCGCCGGCGGTGACCGAGTGTATCTCGCTCAGCTGACTCCAGACTTCGGCTCGATTGTTGACATCGAGGTGATCTGTGTAGTTGAATGGCTCGCTCGGCTTCAATGGATAGTGTTTCCTCAATGGCGATATGTTTATGGCAAGACAATATAACTCATATTTATGGCGAGACAAACAATACTTGCGGCTCCTGTCGTCGCACCGCTTTTGTCATTGGCAAGCGTGGCCGTTGAATGAAAGGATCCGCTCGACAAGGAAGCTCAGTTTCTTTCCATAGTAGTAAAAGTAATCGTTACGATGATTGTGTTCGTAGTAGCGATTTCCGTCGTGGCGGAGTAGAGGTTCAAAAAGGAAAGAGTCGCAGCGGTTTGGACGGCGTCTCGGAACACTTCTGTCGCGAGCAGTCCTAACAATTCTGACTCGATCGAGATTCCCGTAATCGGGATGAGAACACGGGGAACCTCTCGGGATCCCATCACCTTATTCCTCCGTCTTTGCTCCTCCGACAGGGAGGAGGATCGATAGCTCCGGATCACTCCGTTCGATCTGCGGCTTGGATCTGGTGTCGGGTCGGGAACTCAGTGTTAAAATACGGAATCCGTAAGCGACGCCAAGTTGATCGCGTATTTTATTGCTCCCTTGGATGACAAGCCGAAATGCGGGCGAGTCTAGCAGGAAAAAAATCACAACTCTTCCTCCGGCCCTCGCATGCAAGAATGGAACGATGCCGGTGAGATTCTCCCGTCATGACGTCCGGCGGTGGCAACGGCGCGGCTCTGCAGCGTTCGTCTGCCGGGACAGTTTCACACGGACACTCACTCACCGACGCTGTTCCGGAGAGTCAATGGAAGTCTTGAACGGATGTATTCCTTACACGTACTCGGAACGAGAGGATGCGTTCTCCATGAATGAACTTCCCGATGACGACCGACCTGGAGTAAATGTGCTTCCTCCATCTCAGAGGCTGACGGAATGTTCGATGAGTGCCGACCTCGTCAGGTGATGAGGATGTATCACGCTTCGAATGGGAATCGTGGCGATATCAGCGAACGCGAGGGAGCGAAATAGCAAAATAGCGAAAATAAAAATAAAAATAGCGAAATAGGATTGTGGACAAAACTATAACGTGTTTCCCAAGTTAAAAATCGGTGTCCCCCTCACGCATTGCCGATATGCAGTATTGGTTAAACGAAGTCGGAATCGGGACACGGAATTTTCGGAAGAAAGGGAAGACAACGAATCAGCCGATATCGACGAGGAACCTCCAGGAGATTGAGACGGAATCATCTCGATCGATAGAGTCCGCTCAGCGTAGAGGGCAAAAATTCGTTCCGGGACCCTCATCTCTGAGCAGCCCCATGACCTCGATCCCCTACATAGTTCATAGTTCCCTTCGAGCTCCGGTTCGAAGCTCTCGGGATATCTCATCTCTCTGGGATTCTCTGCAGGTTCGGCCAGGCTTCGGTTGGATCCTGCCGCGACTTTATTCCCAGTATGATCCACCGCACGAAACGGCACCGCTGAGTTGTGGGACCATCGTTCTTTCCTCCCTAATACGAACCGCAATCATCGGATGTCTAAGAATGACTCAAGAGAGCTTTATCCTTTCTGCTGTTCCGCTATCTTTCTGTTGGTCGTTTCCAGCGGATGCCTCCATCTCTAGAAGGTGCTGCTGCTGCCGTGTTGACGTCGGCGGGCGTAAGCGAGTCGACGCCGATCACGACGATCTGCCGGAAGCTGCGCCGCTCGGTCCCATTGCGAGCCACAGCGAGCAGGCAGAGAATGAATGAATGTAGCGAAGGGATTAAACACCGCCAGTCGATGGCCTCGGAGATGAGTAGTTCGTCATTCGCGCCGATGAATGAGATCGGGGAAGAGAAGTTTGAGGAGGATGGGGAGAAGGTGCACAGAGAAAGTTTCGCCGGGTATTCGAGAATTATTCCGAGCAGATTATTCGAATTTCAGATGTTCGCGTTGAAAGCAAAGCTACCACGCATACGGTTCTCTGTCACAGAGACGAGCTCCGAATTCCATCTGACGCTTTGTTATTAGACAGCGTAAACGACACTCAATGGGGCAATCTTCGGCACAGCGTGAAGCGAAGATTTGTTTCGTTCACATCATTGCCGGCCGCATAGGCTCTTTAGGGGCCCCCGCTGACAGCCTGGCTGACATCGAATGAGTCTCCGGCTATCCGAATGAATAACATTGCGACATAGTGTTCTGGAGAGGAATCAGATGAGTGTTCCCTCCTCACACAGCGGCTTGTTGTGCAGCTTCTGCGGCAGAAATTAGGACGACCGACCGTTTGAGATCATGGACTACAGGATCGTCCTAATCGAGCAAATACTCATTACCCCATAAAGAGACTGATCCTCCTCTCTGGGAAGGTTCCGACTGCTCGAGAGATCATCGTTCCTCGAGAACGAGAGATTAGAGCCCCTCGAGATCGGGACTGAATCGTTTTTAGGGATGTCCTGGATGCGGCCTTCTCATTCTGACTCTCTCTCATCTGGAGTCTAAAGCATGACGAGCGCGATTCGCTCTCGGAAGATCGAGGAAATTCTCAGAGCGGAATTCGGCTTCCACGAATTCTAGCGTTCTCGCCCGCGTCCCGCTCCATGACGTGGCAGAGGCTCGTCGCCGCTTTCCGAAGAGGAGAGTATTGATCTCGATGATTAGCAAGCCCCGTGCATCGGGAGCTTCGGCCATTCAGGGACGATGATTCGACTCGAATGTCGGAAGCCTTCGAGTGGGATGACGAGCCCCTCCGGCCATCGATCTGAACATTCGTCTCCACCGACTGGTGACGAACGAACGACAGAGAGTAGAAGCCATGGGAAGCTGAGTCGAATGCGACGCATTGGATGATGCTTTAATAATAATTTATTCATCGAGCCTTGTGGAGAAGAAACATCATTGGGAGCCAATCTCCACGGGAGGCTTCCCGAAAAATCCTCAGCATCTTTCGTGAGCAGGCACATTCGCTGATCGGCCTATCTGCTGCGGATGGAAGAGATCGACCTGATATCGCTGAATGGAGCGTATCTCGCGTGAGATGCGAGGGTTAATCGGGAGTTCATTTTCCGGTGATCCCACAATCTACGCGAAGGGCGGGCGTTTCTTTGATTAATGAGCTTGGACTCAAGCATCTCGACGAATGACTCGGAAATTACTCGTCCATTCATCTGGATCTGCGTGAACGCGGATGATTCCCCTGTATATGACAGGCGAGCCATTCGCTCGACGGGAGACAGGCTTTCAGCGACCGGGCAAGCAACCAGCCAAGCAAGCAAGCAGCGCATCGGCTAGGCTAGAGTCCAAGACAGAACGACGTACGAAAGCGGAAATTCGTGCTTAGAAAAGCGGATCTTAGTTTACAACAATCGCTCTCGACCTACGCTATTCCTTCTATCTCGGCTTCTCCTCTAAACGTTCGAGTTTCGATGCTCTCTTCTTTCACGTACTCTTGAGATGCTGCCGCGGCTCTTGCTGCAGCTGCGGCGGCGGCGGCTGTTGATGATGGCGCCGACCTTCGTCTGGAAGGAGAGAGCCGTGCCGCGGTGTCGCGTCATTGATAAAACCATCTTCTCTGAATGAAACCAAACGTAGCCCAGTTATCAAGGCAATCATTACGCTTCGCCGTCCCGATGAGACCTGCATTGCCTGAGCAGGTCCCATTGCCTACGACAGCGAAGGCCTAATACTGTTGTGACTGCCGTCTCCGCTGAATGAAATTGCCCAACGCAGCAAGCGAGCGTTCCGAGCTCATATGCCCAATTCTTTCAGCCGCGTTCCGCTCCGGGACGAAACGTGAAAGTGGAACACTCTGTTCAAGAAAAAATTACGCGACTGCCCGCGTTTATAGGCCGGCACTGACGCATACGAGCAATCTGAGCTCCGACTGTAAACAATACTGTGACGCTCTTCCTTCCAGCCCATTCATCGCCGAACAGTTCCGGTGTGATATACCGAGAGACTTCCACCTACTGAATATTTACGTCAACGAGCGCGAGAAGGTATCCAACAAGGACAAGGTCATCGGGCGCGTCAGCTTGAGCAGAGGAGACATCCTCAAATTCCACGCCAAAGAACATTGGTTCAATATCGAGCCGGTAAGCATCGCGTTTTCTTCCACCGAGAAGCTGACAGAAAAAGAACATGCTTGTCATGGGCCCGCAGAAGTCGCGGAAATATTCTTAATCGACAGGACAAGGGAGCAACCTCTAAACTAAGCGTTCTCGTTGCTAGGTGGACGCGGATTCCGAAGTTCAAGGCAAGATTCATTTGTTCCTGGCACTCCAACACTTTCAGAACGGACTCCAATTGTCCTCGATACATCCGCTGTCCGAAGAGGAGCTCTTCCGGTCGGGAGCGGAAACTCGATTAGTGCTCAGGATAGCTGAGTGTTGCGATCTTAATACGATCCGAGGCTATTGCGATCCATATGCGGTTGTCGCGCTGTACAGAGACAATGTCAAAGTCGATCAGAAGAGAACGAAGGCTCTAAGAAAAACTTCACGACCCTCATTCGAGGAAACGTTCGACTTTTTCCTGCCAAGAGATTGGGACCGTTTCGAGGTTAAGGTAAGCTTCGAGCTTCAGATCTGGGATAGAGTTCTGTATTCCATATTTATCAATCAGGCGTTCTCAGAACGAAACAGCTCCGACTGCATGGAGTCGACCAGCCGTGTCCCGATGGGAAACCTAAACGATTCCTGACCCTTTCTCGACAGGTATCGCTTTATCATGATGTACAGTTGGGATCGAGCGTTTTTCTTGGAGAAGTCCGGCTGGGCTGCTCCGCAGCGGAGCTCCGACAGCAAGAGCCAGTGTCCGCCTGGTATTATCTGGGACCTCGAGAGGAGTTCTCCAAGAAGAACAATTATCCCGAGCTAGGGGCTCTTCGCCTTAAACTGCATTTCACGTCAGACACCGTCTTCCCGTCTTCGACGTACGATCAGCTGAGGCAGTTGATCGTTTCCAGTTGGCAAGTGCAGCCCATCACATGTAGTGCTGCCTACATCATATCTCAACTTGTGAGTGATCCCAAAAAGTTTTGGATAACAATCTATGAGCGAGAGATGATCCGACCCATGAGATATCGATAAACTTCTTCTCGAACGGTTCCTTCCACCCTTCAGGTTCCTGCCGGTGGCAAGGAGGCCATCACGCCCTTGGTTCGCGTCCTGTCAGAAACGAAGCAGATCGTGAAGTTTCTGCGGGCGGTCGCTGAACACGAAATGAGTAACACGAGCGACGCCACTACGTTGTTCCGAGGCAATTCATTGCTTTCCCGCTGCGTTGACGAGTTCATGAAGTTCGTCGGCATGCAGTACTTGCAGAGTACTCTTCGTTCGTTGATCGATCGAGTGCTGTCCGAGCGAAAGCCGTGTGAAATCGACCCCACGAAACTCAGCGATGAGGCCAAACAGCTTCCGATCAACACGCAAAATCTCAAATCGTACGCGGACGAAGCCTTCGAAGCTATCACCAAAAGTGCGGCCGAATGCCCTCCGATCCTTCGTGAACTCTTCAATGCACTCAAACGACTAGCCGCGAAACGCTTCCCCAAGAACTCGCGCACCCAGTACTCAGTTGTTTCGGTTTTTGTATTCCTTCGGTTTTTCGCGGCTGCCATTCTCAATCCAAAGCTATTCGATCTTTGTCCTCCTCAACGCAGTGTTGACCCTCAAGCGAATCGAACCCTAACGCTAATATCGAAGGTTGTCCAGAGCGTCGGCAACCTGACGTCGAAAAACGTTGAAGCTTCGCGAGCTCGCGTCGGCGAACGCCAGAACTTCGTGCCCTACAAGGAGGAGTACATGTGGCGCTTCTATTCACAATTTCTCAACGAGAGTCACCCACAGAAAGTGACGTCGTTCCTCGAGATGATCTCGTCAAATCTCAAAACGATATCCGCCCTCCCGCGGGAATCCAATAACTCCTCGCCGCCGGTTGTCCTCAAGCAGGGCAGCTTGACGAAACGAGCGCAGAATAGGAACAAGCTCGGACTGAAGCAATTCAAGAAGCGGTATTTTTTCTTAACGTCAAAAGCTTTATGCTATTCGAAAAACAAAGACGGGAATCCTCTATGTGAAATTCCTCTCGACGAAGTGCTCGGAGTGGAGAGGCTTCGCGAGGAGTCTTTCCGACTGAATAATGTCCTTCAGGTAGGAGTCTTCCTCTGTCTACCTAGCATTGGGAGACATGGATTTTCGACTTCAATACTTCAGGGGTCCAACTCCGTCATCACTGTACGCAACAACGTCTCTCTCTTCCGCAGATCGTCCAGCCTTCCGGCATATTGTACATTCAATGCAACAATTGCGTAGAGGAGCAGGAATGGTTAGACCTTCTGAGGCGATTGACGGCCTCGAACCGGCACAAAGTTCAAGCTTTCCATCCTGATGCTTTCATAAACGGCGAATGGTTGTGCTGTAGATCTCGATTCGAAGGCGAGCGCGGATGTTCGCCGGTTTCCCGGACCGAGTTAGGAGCCCAAGTGGACCTCGATCGAGAGCTCGAACGACTCCACTCGTTGGTAATCTCGAACTGGAACAACTTCGAAGCCCTCACTGAGAACTGCGATACCATTCTCAACTCACAGTCGCAGGGAACTTTAGGAGGTGAATATCTTTTCCTCTTTCCCCATTTGAATACCTTCGGGCAGAAAATTGCACCATGGGTTGTGAGATGGGTCAAACTCTTTCGGGCTGTTTTTGACTTCAATCCGAATTTCAGGTCTAAGGGCCTGGCAGGACGACTTCACGCTGAGTACCTCATTCGAGAGCTCAGTGGCGAGCAACTCCGGGACGTCAACGCTGACGGACACCCTCAACAATAATCTGGAGAACGGGGACGTCGCACGGACTCCGACCTATATCCAGGAGGATGTGAATAAGTACGGATGGAGTTTTTTTCCCTCGTAACTGCTCAATATAGTCATAGCTGCCTTCCCGTTACGGAAAAGACGGTCTCTCGTCTCCTTCTGAGGCCAGAAGTCGTCAGGAATCCCATCGTTCAAGAGTAATCTCAGATATGTGATCTGATTCTGCTTTCGTTTCCAGGACAGCGGATGAGTTGCGAGCGATGACTGTTTCCGGCAGGAAGACATCATTCGAAATCGACGACGCTCGTTCCATGAAAGTCGCCCTGATGGCCTTAGCAAAATGTGCAAAGGAGTTGGAAAACTGGCATCGTAGATATCGCGATTATCAGAAAACCGGGACCGTCAGGGGAACGAAGTGAGTACTCAAACATATTCCTGGGCAGATCCCCCTCTCCGTAGGGATTGATCCTACGGAATCTTGCCGGAGCCGACGATTAGTTGGTCAGTAACATCGAGAACCTGATTGCCTTGCAGACAAGCACCGATCAGTTTGGAAGATAACTATATCGTAATGAAGCCCGTTCTCAGCTCACAAGCATCTCATAAACGATGATCCGAACGGAATGAGCCCTCGCCTTCATTTTCGCTCTCAGTACTCCGACGAGCAGCACCATTATCTCATTATTCACCAAGTGTATCAAATAGGTTCACCCCCTTCATTTTAAAATATGTGATGGGAAAGACACAAGTTAGGTTTGATGTAAAATTCAAATTATGTCCACATTGAATTAAGGTCGGTATTGAAGAGGAGAAATAGGGAAATCACTGACGAAAGGGATGAGGTCGGGTGAGAGGCGGTCGGAACTATTGAGATAAGGACTGAGTCTCACGACGACGATGTGCACAATTAAGAAGAATTTCGGCAAAATTTCGTATGATCGACCCTGCCCGATTGACTGAATGACTTGGGAGACTATGCTGTCATGGATTTTATCTACAGTTATACTCTCCAGGAAAGGAGCAATTGTAAAAACCTTCCCTGTACTGATTTTCCGCGTTTCGGAGAGATGGGGAGCCCTCTCTGAGCTCGTCGATGGTTTCTGACGGAAAAGCAGATATACATATATAAATATATATATACGTTCTTCCTTGTTCATCCAAGTAAACGGTCGTTAATGTCCAATAAATGTCAATATTAGGCCTTTGCCTTGATCCATCGCCAGGAATAGTCCGGGTCCATACATAGGCTCGCCGACCATCGATGTGCGAACATCGGTGCATATTCGATCGGCACCGCGACCGAAATCTATTTCAAGAGCGGGGAGGGGACAGGGGACCATATTCCTCGAAGTACCTCGCGAGTGCTCCTCATGTCCCTTGGCCACTCAGTCGCCAAACCTGATCGTGGGACCGGTGTGGAATTCCTTTCGTATGCTTCCTACTCTTTTTCCAGCATGTAGCTCTTCAAGCGGGGAGACATGGACGCTGCGGATCGTCGATTAATCGAGGCAGGGCTATAGATGAGTCTCATGTATCAATTTTGGAATCGAACATAACGAGCCAGCATTCTGAATAGTTGTCATCCCAGCTATGCAGCGCGTACTTATACGTCGGCGTCGCAAGAACTAAGTAACCGTTGCAACTCTCTTCGAGTCTGGATGGAGCTAGTGAGCCAACCTACTTCCCTACCGGGGAGATCGTACACTTTGCCCGCAGTCCTAGACGTAACACAAGCCTCTTGCCCAAGCGCGTGCGGCCCGACTTATCTTGAACGGTGGGAATGGGAGCGAATCCTTCCGGTGATCTGGGAATGCGCGAGACGTAAGACTCGGAGACTGCCCCGAGTGTCCTGATGGATGAGGGATATCAGTTTCGTCGGCGAGCGGATGATTCGCGACTTCGGCGAAATCAGTCGTCCATGAGCAAGTCTGTGCTTTGGAGATATTGTATGAATTCGATTGCCTCGACGGTCGGGTCGTGGATTTCGACAGTCTTCGTATTTCATACTCTCCGCGCCCATGTTCTCAGTCCGATTGAGAGTCGTCGTGAAGTGTTGGCCAAGCGGACTTCGTTCGACGTGGCTCTCCAGGAGATCCGACTCCCTCACTGCTGCCCCGTTCAAAGGGAGAGGCCTCTCGCCATGCACTCCGGAGATTCTATAGCTTGTGCTCATACACAGGAAGCTCCTTCAGAAATGACTTACGGCGAAAACTCCATGTTCATGATCCCCGGCCGGCTCAGCAACCATTCTAGCGATATTTTCACGCGACCGAGCAGTCTGGTCACATCGCATCGACTCTGACGATGCAGAACCCTCGAAGGAAGGTCATTTTATCGCGATATAGATATCGATACCGTATTACATCTCTAAAATAATGCACCCCGGAGCAAGCTGAAATTTATATTTCCCTACTTGCGAACCAATGCTTCTGATCCCCCTCTCCTCAAGACATCTCTCAGGTCGACGTAATGACGAGCCTCTCGCAGGCTATCCCGCGCGTGCAGGATCTCTTTCTCCTATGGAACATGAAACACGGCCAACATGAAGGTACACATCCTGCCGAGACTGCAGTCTCTCACGAACGGGAGCTCGACGAATCTTATAGGGAATTCCCCGGCAGCCCCATCGCCGCTCAGGAGGAACCCCAGCTTCTTCTACAGATCAGGCCTGGATTATGCTCGAAAAATCTTGACGCTCCGGGTGATACATACCATGCGAGAAATCCCGAGGAATTTCAGCTATCCTCGAAGGGTGACGGTGACCTCCCCCCGCAGTCCTCCGGCGGATTCGGCCGCGACATCTACGCGCCAAGTGATCTAGATGAGCCGAGGGAATAGCGAAATCCCGCTGCGGACCTCGGGAAATTCACTTCGGGGAGATTTGGGGAGAACCTCCCGAGGTCTGCGAAGAGTGTGGCGCGTGTCTGGCCGACGATAGAAACGTACGACACGATACTTTCAAGGGGACAATATCGTGGAATGGCTGTTTTATCCTGACTGTTTTGACTGACTCTGTTTTATCTTCTAACGAACTCCGGATCTCGCACCACTGGACTCGCTTCACCTGGGATCTCAACCGTCCGAAACTCTGCCTCCCGGGGTCGGTCATCTCCTTTCCGAGCGGATCAGATCAGCGCTGATGATTAATGACCGGGGACCGCCACGTACCCATCGGTAGAGGAGGTCAGCGGGGCAAACACCCCGCGAGAGATCGCGATCCACCTGGAAAACGTCGACCACGTATCGTCGTTATCTTGGAAATCGTTGGTCCTGGATATCGAGGAGGCGAGCCTAAACTCGATTCCGCCGGGAGCCTACCCGGATCTCTGGAAACCTTCATTTTCCCTGGCTATTGGGTTGACGATAGGGGTCGTCACTCTTATTCCGTCAGCGAATTTCAATTCTCCGTGGAAGATATTTAAGCCCGCGAATATGGACGGCATGACAATTCATCTCCTCACCACTTTCCGATGTAATTCCGCTCGTGAATCAAGGCGGCGGCCTCTGATCGGCCGAGCATTGTTATCGGGTTTGACACAGTTTTACGCCATGACGGTCAAGGACATCATGCGCCTCATTTGAAACCAAACTTCACTCAAGGACGAAGCCGTCGAAGGCCGCCACGAGAAGATCGTTTCACTGGATGAAACGTTACGTTCGCTTGACGTCACGCCGACGCTGGAAACGAACGCAGTCCAGATCGGCATCGAGCAAAGTCCTCGCTTTGAAACTTGCGCCACTCTGAAATCAGAGCTACCAGTCTGCTTCTTCAAAAGAGTGGACGCATATGAAGGATATCTCATCCCGGAATGCGATCAGCGAATCAGACCATCTATGATACCATCTGATCCCTATGATACCATCTGATCCAAATAAACCATTAAACCATTCGAATGCGACGGTGGACCCGACGCGACGAGAGAAGGGTACGGCTTTCGGAATGGATCGGGAATTTCCAGCCTAGCAGGCGGGGGAGCGTTTCCGAAATCATCGAGACCATCTCCCTGAGAATATTGTGCGGCGAGTCGGACGAGGAACGATCGTCCAAGGCTCATTTGGAGGGGGCCTTGAGCGAGAGAACACCGAGAGTGTTTTCGCTCGCTTTCGTGCGCTGGGAAGTGGCGCTCTACAACTGTAGAATTAGCACCGACTTCCGAATGGGGATTTTCGCGGCATTTTCGTTCGAACCCCTAACATTACGCTTGCCTGAACCAAGATGAGGGCAGACCCACTTACCCTATAAGGGGTCAGACCCTACTTAGTTAGGCACGCGGATGTCATGAAATGATTATACAACGGACGTCACCTCCGAATATTCGGTGGTGCCAGCGTCGGTCGCAAGATGATTCCGTCGATGACTTGAGGGAGACGGCCGTTCCACGTTGTGTTACGGTTTTCTGAGAGTCCGCGTCGCGACGCGGCCCCGAGGATAGGATGTTTTCGGGGCTGGCAACGCTCGTTTATGATAACTAGGGCTGTGCATTCTATGCAATGCACATATGCGTATGTCAACGGCATCGGGATCTTAATATATAATGCAATTTTCGGCTTGGACTGTATTTCGAGCATTTTCCGGGGCTTCTCCGTGCTCGTTGCCTTCCTCACGTGCACCAATGAAAAGGTGGGGATGGCGCCCCCTTATCGAAATGGGTCATTAATCCCCATGCATATTTCGCTCTTTTTCGTGCATGAAACGTTCAGCCCTAGTGATAATAGGATTTCACGTAATAATTCTACCCAGACTGGATGGATGGAACAAAATTGGATGACTGGATGGAACAAAATTCTCCTACTGAACAAATCTCCATGGCTAGAAGACTCGGTATATCTATGGCTTAATCGTCATATTATATTCAGGTCGCTGGGAAGGTCGAAAACTTGGGAGCCTTCGTCGTACAGAAGTATATCATAGAAGGTGGTTCGGACCAACACCTGTTAAGTCTTCCAGAGACGATCGAACTGAGCTTTCTTCAATGCCTGGGAGCTCGATAGGATCAAAAATATTGTTCATCCATGAGACCGGATGCGAATCTTCCGCAAATCCTCGTCTGAACAGAAGGAACTGAAGGAAAGCTGAAGGAAAGCTGAAGGAACCAACCTATGTGGATCCATTCAGACAGATTTTGTCATCCACCGAGCTCACGACGTCTGACGCCACGCCGATCGCGTCTTCAGGCTGACCCGGAAGGAATATGTAGCGAGTATCCTCCGAGTTTGGATCCCATCCGAATTCACGAATCGGCTGTGGAGATTTAAACCGCGACGCTCCGTGAGAAGCTGGGAGGCCTCTTCGAGAGAGACCGGAGATTCGAAAAACAGGTTGCTTCCCATGCGGAACGCTCTGCGCCGTTGACTGCAGCTCTGACTGGGTGTCAGCTAGAATTTTCTTTCAAAACTGAGCTCGAACGCTATGGGATCAGAGGTCTTCCGGCGGGAAGCGAACAGAAATGTTTCTTCGAGGAGCCTGTCGAATCGCATTCATCGTGCGCCTTCCCGACTGTTCCGAATCGCATTAAACGCGTGGAAAATTACTCCGACGTCGTCGGTCGATGCTGCACGCGTGCGCGAGACTTCGCGGAATCGCCGAGAGTCGCTGCTCAGTCAGAGCTGCAACTATATCAGGTCGAACGCCGTTACCTGCTGTTGCTGCTGCCGCCGCCGCCGCTGCCTGCGCCGGTGTTCTCCTGTCCACGGTGGTTGTGGTGGTGAAGGGGCCTTCGTCGAAGCCTCACCTCTCTCGCTCCCATCGCCGCGACCACTCGCAGCAGCATCTGTTCCGACGAGGTCGCGCTGAGGCAGACGGACTGGGACTCCCATGCTAGGCTCTCCTTCCGGGTCGAGGACATCGGAAGCGGAGGCTCCAGGCAGAAGATGATCGAAGATCCTTGAAGCTTTGTGAACTGGAATCGCTCTTCAGCAGAAACTCGCCTTAGATTATTTCGATCCGTCCTCATTCCAAGATTTTCGTCATGCTCCTGAGAATCCAACCAGGTTCTGCTTATAGATTGGAGGGGTTCCGGAGCGAGTCGAGCCCACTTAGAGATTCCGCGTGGGTACGCTCGGAAAAACAGGAGAGCAGAATCACATGAGTATCCGATGTCCGATAAATTCATCGCCATATCCAGCTGAAACGGCATCGGACGAGCCGAGAGAGCTTCCCTCTGCTCAGAATAATCGAATCCATCACCCTAAGAGGGATGCCTGAAGGAAATGAGCCGGGCTGAAGGCACCGGTGGGGAACTCAACGAGATTCCTATCGCTGAGGAGGCTCGCCTTTCCACGGAGAATTCTTCAGCTATGGGACGCCCGCTACCAGACAATCGGGGGCTCTCTAAGAGCGATTATGGGGCACCGTGTCGAGCTCGGACCCCGAAGCAGGTACCTGTCTTATGAGTGGAAATCATATTCTATAATTCCCCCGTACGGAATTCTCGCGCTATCCGCTCCTTCAAAATCCTCTGGAGAACCTTGTCATAGGTTCTCATTCGACGAAGTTTCCAGCACCCGACCTCGCTCCGTTCCTCTTTCTTAGTCTCTTCACCTGTGCTGGACGTCGCAGCCGCGGTGCCGGCCGGCCGGCACCATCATCCGGATCCCACGGGTCGCTCCTTGCCTTGCCAAGCGCTCCAATTGTCCCCGACGACTGAAACTGACCGCTCGTTTATTCTATCCATTCGATGTGGGTCGCTTTCTGAGCTGTCTGTCCATCTGTCCGCCAGCCAGTGAGCCAGCCAGCTCGTCAGTCGGTGGCTCGCTCGGCCAGCTGTACTCCTCGCCGGTCTGTCTGCTGGGTTCGTCCGGTGCTAGCCGATGCTGACCAGGTTCTCCCGCTGCGACCGTGGCTCCGCGATCGCCCGACGAGCGCCGACCCCGTTGTTCCAGCGCCATCCGCCTGATTACAATGAGAACCCTAGCGGAGCGCCCGGCGAGCCGAGGTCGCGGCGAAAGAATCAGCAAAGATCACGGTCTCCTACAATTTTCAACCTAGTCGTTGTCGTTGTTGCCAAGACCCTGCGGGCATTTAGTCTGTGTACATTGACGTTGGTATCTACTCTGCGCCTGCACTCTGTCTCCGGCGGCCGGTGAGTAAGATTGATTCTTCCGTCTTTCTTGTCACTCAGAATAGTGACAGGGTCATTAGTAACCGAGCATGATCCGACGTCAAGTCGGTTATTATTCCCGCAACTTATTTTCGACCACCGGTCGGCTCGCGGAACATTCGGGCGCTGTTCGATTCGATATTTTCCATCCTGCTGCGATTCGAGGTTCGAAGTCTAAGCTTTCCCGCGCGTACTGAACAGGAGTCCCGAACCCCGTTGAACCGTCGCCTCGACATCTTTTGACACTTCTGCGAGTTCCCACAAGTGAAGCTCGTGGTAAAAGTCCACGGTCTAATCGGGATGATTCCTAAATGCCGAAAATGCGGGAGGGTGCGCGGTGGCCGAGTCAGCGTAGTTCACAAATGGGCGGGGCTTGATTAGCGACTGCGGCTGATTTCCGCAATCAAGGTTATCCGATTTTCACGTTATTCCTTAGCTATTTTGGAAATTCCTCTTTATCGGGGTCCTGCTCTGGAATCGGAACTCTAACGGTCTCGAGCACTTTTCCGTTCCACCAGGAGTCCCCAATCCATGGATCGAGGTGGGGCCCCGTTGTTGTTGTTGACGGTGCGGCAGCGACACGGGTGTCGCCGCCGCCGCCGCCGCTGCAGCAGCGGCTCGCCCCGAGTGTCCGTCTGTCAGTCGGCGAATCTATGGCTTACTCTGTTGGTTGGTGGTGGCGGTTCTCTCAAGGCTAGCTGCTGCCGCCGCCACCGTGTAGGCTCCGCCCTCGCCGCCATCTTAGCTCCAGATGTTTGGCCGTTCGTTCAATCGTGGACGACCAACGACGGCGAATGCTACTAGTTGGCTCTTCTGAATTTGAGAGCCACAGCAGCTAAGGGCAGGCGGTGCAGCAAACGACTCTCACCGTTCCTCGTACAAGTGCTGCTGTTGCTGTAGTTGTTTCAGCAGCAGCAGCAAGCACGAGATCGAAAAACTGCGGTAACTGAAGGAACTTCACGGCTTGGGAAGCACGAGACGTCGACTTAGGACTCCGGGGAGTGCAGCTGCAGAACCACAGCTGGGCCTCAGGTCAAGATCGAGCCTCGTTTCGTTTGGCTTCAGGATAATCGCCGCAAACGCCGTGCGAAGTAATTTCGAATGGTTAAGCGAAGTGAAGTGATTGTTCCGAAATCGAGCGTTACTGGAAATCGAAGCTTTGGATTAATCCTCGTGTGCGTCAATGCGGTCGGATGATCTAGAAGTGCATTCGTGAAAATGTCTCCATTGTGAACCTCTCGCACTTGCGGGAATAGCAAAACGTCATCGACTCTGCTCATCGACCACAAGCAGGACGATTGAATTCGACAGACATTCCTCCCTCGTTATCGTCCACATGAACATAGTGGTTCTCAACGACTGGAAGTGTAGTGTTCCGTGTTCATTATTGTTCTGTTCGGTTACCGGGGAATACGCCGTCGACCCATTGCTGCCGAGGTCATAAGGAAACATCGCAGCGTGCGCAAGAGGACGCGAGGCTGACTGAGATCGTCTCTGCCCCCAGTATATTTTATATCGGACGATCGAACTCTGGGGCTGATTCGCCCAACGATAGGCGTTGACGGTCCTTAGAGCCGAGTCGAACCAAGCGGCAAACCAACAGTGACAGCAAAGCCAAGCAAAGCAACCTGAAACGGAATCCGAAGGTCAGCCTTGAGTTGAAGGCTGTACCATCGTCGTCGTCGCAGCAGCCGCAGCTATCGTCGATGCCTGTTTGCCTGCGAGGCCCCTTAACGAGTTAGCATCGCGAGAAAACTGCTGCTAGCTCCATCGACGCTCTATCCCGGAACTCAAGTTCACCATATAGGAATTCACGGAGTATCGTGTTAATAATTTTACTCGGACGAGAGTCAGAATTCGAGCGAGCGAGCGATATTCGTCTCATCTATCGATCGACTCAATCACACACCGATCGACGCCATCTCGACTACGGTTCTCTGAAGTTCGCTCGATAGACGCGGTGGAATCGTCGCAATGGCGATGCGGAATCATGAAGCGAATGCGGTTTCGGCCGCGAGATCCGGCGAAGTTCCCGAGAGCTCGTCTGGAAACCTCAACGGAAATAACCTCGCGCTGGTGTCCGTCAGCGCTCCGGCTTCGGTCGAGGCGAACACCCCAGTTGCCGAAAGCTGGTGTTACACACAAGTGAAGGTTATTAAGTTCAGCTATATGTGGACCATCAACAACTTTAGTTTTTGCCGGGAAGAAATGGGCGAGGTCCTCAAAAGCTCGACGTTCAGCGCTGGGGCCAACGATAAGCTAAAATGGTGCCTCCGAGTGAACCCCAAAGGCCTCGACGAAGAGAGCAAGGACTATCTTTCCCTTTACCTGCTTCTAGTCTCTTGTAATAAGAGCGAAGTCCGAGCTAAGTTCAAGTTCTCCATCCTGAACGCCAAACGGGAAGAAACCAAAGCCATGGAAAGCCAACGGGCCTACAGATTCGTCCAGGGTAAAGATTGGGGTTTCAAGAAGTTCATTCGACGGGACTTTCTTCTCGATGAAGCCAACGGCCTACTTCCCGACGACAAGCTCACCCTGTACTGCGAGGTGTCGGTCGTGGCCGACAGCGTGAACATTTCGGGTCAGAACTCGTCGATTCAGTTCAAAGTGCCCGAATGCGCTCTGTCGGAAAACTTGGGCGAGCTGTTCGAAAGTCAGAAGTTCTCCGACGTCATGTTGGCAGTGAACGGAAAAGAGTTTTATGCACACAAGGCTATTCTTGCCGCCCGTTCGCCGGTGTTCAATGCCATGTTCGAGCACGACCTCGAAGAGAAGAAAACGTCACGTGTGGAAATTTCAGACATGGACGAGGACACTCTGAAAGAAATGCTGCGTTTTATCTACACTGGCAAATCGAATGCCCTCGACAAGATGGCCGACGATCTACTTGCCGCAGCCGATAAATACGCCCTCGAACGACTCAAGGTGATGTGCGAAGAAGCTCTTTGCGACAACTTGTCCGTCGATACGGCTGCCGAACTGTTGACCCTCGCCGACATGCATTCGGCCGAGCAGCTCAAAGCGCACGTTATCGATTTCATCAACATGCACGCAACCGATGTTGTAGAAACCGACGGCTGGAGGCAGATGATACAGAGGACGCCGCATCTCGTCGCTGAGGCTTTCCGGGCGCTTGCCACGCAACAGATACCACCGATCGGTCCGGCTAGGAAACGTCTCAAGCATTAACTATTGGTCAAGCATTTACTCCACGATATTTACTATGGGAACGAGAGCGAGACGAACGAACTCAACCTATACTGAACCGTATTCTGATACGCACTGAAGAGGAAATCGACCGAGTCGCCGGTCGGCTGACCAACGACGGGCCCACCTACGACCAGGATCCGCCGAATCAGTCAGCCAGTGAACCACCAACAAAATTCCAATGACTCCTGAATTCAGGGATTCGACTCCTCAAACTGACGTCTGTGAGATCGGCGCGTGATCGGTAACCCGTCGATCCCGATCGGAGACCATACAGCAGCGGAGCTCATCGTGCCAGGGAGAAATTCGAGCTCTGTCGTGTACTCGAGGACTCCGAGGCGATTTCTCGCCTCGGCTTCCATTCCAACTCGGTGTGCTAACAGAGTCGAGATCGCCGGTCGACTTCTCCATCTGGAGACGGAGTTTCGCTGTGGGTCTGGACCACCGGCACTCCTAGTGGGTCAAATTGAGTTGAGTATGGATTTAGGTTCGCGTACGCCTACCGAGGAATCCGGCGAGCTCACGATTTCTCAGATAGTCGGTTCACTTCCTGCGTCCCATCACCAGCGGATTTCGGTGATTGTCGATGTGTCATTCGAAGAATCGAGACTGGCTCCATATTATTATTATTATTATATACCATTATTATTATTGAAACTATAGACGCTTTTGAATTAGGAGAAGCCAAGGAAACAACGGTGATTGCCTATTTATTATTTTGTACTGTACTGTATTTATTGAAGAAGACAAAGCTGTAGCATCTGTTCCATTGATGTCATCTCGATTTGACCAGCTGCTGCCACGGCTCCTACCACAACCTACCGGGAAGCGAAATGGAGGAAAAAATATAGGAAAAGAGAAGTCGACCCCAATTCGGCAGAGCGACGATGGCTAAGACGACGTTTTCTAATACAACTGCCAATGTAAAGCGGGCATCTGATAGGAGAAGAAGCATCACTCAACGAGTAGGAATCGAGGGGACGAGAATGAGGAACTCCTCGCTCTGGAGGAACTCTTCCGGGTAGAACATGAATGATCTCGAAGGCCGGCCTTGTATACTCTATTTCTCCCTTTGTCTCTCATTGATGTGGAAGTTATCGTGGCCAGAGCGGATCGGGAGCCAGGTCACGAACATTGCTTTCGAGGGTGTCGTTCCACACGATGGAGGATATTAAGTAGCGAAGGAAATATTCTCAACCCTGGAAGCCCTCCACCTCCCGGAATCGTCGACTGTGGTCGTATATTTCGTCAGCACAGTGTAGGATTCAATATTGAGCTACGGCACGAAACCATGCGAGAACAACAACAAACAAACAAAGAAGCAAACCCTAGGAGACACACCCACAGCTTCCCGACTGACTGTCTGACTGAGAGAACCCGATGAATAGTGAAAGCGAGTGAGGAAAAAATCGATGAACCTACTGAACTTTCGCGTATACGAACTTTTTTGCTGATAACGAATGATGAGCTTTCGTGTCGATTATGCGAAGCAGAAATGAAAGGAAGGCTGTACATCTACAATGTATCGAGTGATATCGACGAACGTTTAGCGGAGTCAAATTACCGTATAGAAATTATAACTTGTACATTATGAGGAGCCAACATCAGCGAACATACCATCAACAACAACAAGCATATAGTAATAACGGAGTCGATGTTTCAAACGGGGAAGCGATTTCCGGATCTGGAGAATCAGGCTACCTAGTTAAATCCGTCGTTCTCGGGAGTGGAATTGTTTTCGGGGCCTCAAAGTTTCGTGTCATTCGAGTGATGTTCACGCGGTTCTCGGTGCTTTATTGTACATTGAAACATGGATGAGCGGATTAGCAAGCAAGCGAGCGAGCTATGAGACGGAGACGAGGAAACGAGAATTTGGAAGCTTTTGGAATAGTGGAACAATGATGTTATAGTTGGCTTCGTTTTTCTTTCGGCTCTTGCTTCCCGATGTGAATTTGGGACGCGCGCGCACGTTGCTGAGCCGCAGTCAGAGCTAGCCGCTGTGGATGAAGCAAGTCAAGCAACCAAGCGACCAGCCGAGCAAGCAAGCAGCCAACCAACCAACCAACAATCCAACCGACGACCAACGAGTCAGTCAGTAGCTGCTGCTGCTGCATCAGGCACTGCTGGGAACGCCGGACCGAGAAAGATGCTGCCGAAGTCTCTGCGATCTATCCATCGGTTTCGGCGATCTTTCCGTCAGCTTGCTGATACTTGGGGGTCTCGACAAGGCGTGGGAGGTTTCAAGTAGCAGCCGCTGCCCTACTTCGGCTCGGTGCAATTCCAACCTGATGGACTGACTGAGTCGAAGCTACCCAATCTGGGGACAGGCTCTCCTTGGCCGCCGTCGTCCTATCCGAGCACCCCTGGGGTTTGGCGCCATAGAGAGGAGGGCTTTCCGCTTATGGTCTCCGCGGACATTCTCCTTAGTTATCTCGGGTAACGTAGCTTTGACGTAGCGTGGCCTGATCCTTCAGAATCTCGGAACTGAGTGACCCATCGATCGATGACGCCTAGACTTTTTGAAATAAAGAAATATCCCAACAAAAGTGAGGAGGAAAAACATTCAAACACTCGCCGGTGTATTCATTGAGAGACTTCGTTGATAGGCTCTGGGACGGGGTGATTTCACTTCAGGAAAACTTCCCCGACTCAGGATAGAGTTCATGCTTTGGATTAGTTTCCACGGTCACCTCCGGATTATTTCAATAAATAATCTGAAATCATGCTGGGCATTGGGCTGTGGTTCGCCTGAGGAGCTCCATGCGGAGAGCTCCGTCAGACACCACTCCGGACGGCTTCACAAGCCGGTATACGAGCGTGATGTACTGCCGGGAGTCATGGGATCGCTGTTCACCGACGCAAGCACTGGGGAGCGACGGTATCGCAAGCGAATTTCGATCCAAACGGGCAAGCCGCCACCGCCGCTCCCGCCACCGACGACGACGATGTCCCTCGCGCGGATGACTTTGAGCATTTTTTTCTCTTCTCTTTGCCTCCGTCAAGACGCCAAGCAGACAACAGCACCGCTCTGGACGGCAAGCTTCACCAGCAGCGTCGGCGTCGTCGCTGTCCACAAGGTTAGCTCCATGCAGCGCGCTTTTCTGGCATGGATACTGGTTCCTTTTAAGCCGTTCATATTATGTGCCAGCCGAGCATTGTCAACGAGGCAGATCGGGCACTCTCAGGGAAGCTCAGGGGAGTTGTTAAGCGCTCTTCGGAGTCCGATCAAAACCAGCCAGTCGCAGCCCCCCTCGGGAGGCGACGATATCCGATCATCGCGAGGAACTCCGTCCCAGGGGAGCCGAGCGAGACCTTAAAGTTCGGTTTTGAGTCCGTCACGCTGTTCGGCTGGGCGGCTACTTCGACCGAAGTCGAAGGTTGCACCAGCAGCGTTCCGCTCAGGGTCAAGCGAAGGTCCCCTTCGGGAAACTTACGCAATGAACAATGAAAGACGAGGTGTGCATTCAGTGATACACTACCGGCACATCGGCACGGATCAGATTTGCGAGACAAAGAAACGTCATTCTCGTGCTCTTCCGAAATATTGGACATCTTGAAAAGAGAGCTGGGATACACGATCTCAGCTCGATGATCGGAGTGACGGACACGCATTCGGTCGTTCACGCGTCGCATTTTCTCTTTTCTCCGTCAGGATCTGCCAACGGTGCCGGTTCGAATGGAGCGATACCGTTCCTGCCAGACACGGCCCTGAGAGGGGATTGCGGGGTCGATGGGGGGAGGAGGGACTCATATCCGGGGGAAAAGTTTTCCGCATTTCAATTAATTTTCGGATCGTCCCGATCATGAATCGGAGGTTTTCGGCTCCGATCACTGAGAACGCGGGGAGTCTCCCGAAGATTGCGTAAAACTCGTGAGTTCATGTCACCGCTCCCCCACAGAGCCTCGCGACCTTCCTGATGCCACCGGTGGCTGCGCGATTTGGGGCTTCAGTGATCGATCCGAGCGGACAGACCGCCGCGACGTTCACAGGGCATCAAGTACGGACGATAATAACAAGTATATATTTATATATTGGAAGAAATAACCATTGTTGAAACGACGTTTTCTCGGAGCGAGCCTTAAACGGTCGGCGCTCGCTGGGTCGCTCGCCGCGGCGGCACTGTCGAAAGCAAGGGTTGTATCTCCCCGAGCGTTCTTAAACTTGATGTAAATCTTGAGCCGGCACGCGTTCTTTACGCAAGACACCAAGTTGTCTCGACGACGAATTGCTTTTGAAACTATTCTTATCTCTAGGAAGCATGAGCAGCTGACGGCGACTTGTGCAAGCGAATGCCTGCCTCCATCGCTCGATTGCGGGGAAGACCGGGGGAAAAGCCGCGCCTGAGGAATATTTTTGGGAGAAATGAGATGCGAAATCTTCTCTGCGAAATGGGGGCGGGATCGATTGTCGGCATTGTGGCGAGTTGTTTTTCCAAGCGATGGACTCGCGAATAAAGTGCCTGAAAGCGAGATTCCAAGCTTGCGTACTTGGGCTCTATCGGCACAGCCTTATCACTGTGATCTGCGTCATTTTCGATGATGCGGATCGCGAGCTCTATCGGACGGATCTTTCGACGATTTCGGCAAGAGAATTTCCGGAAAATCTTCGGCTTGCGTAAACCGTGTAGACATCCGATCAGTCAATGGATGGGACTGGGAAGAGCAACGGAAGCGACGTATTGTTGTGACTTGTCTGAACAGACCGACCGACCGTCAGACTTGAATACTGTGGTTGAGCGTTCGGTGAGTGATGGAAATCGGCCGGTGCCGCCGCCGTGGACGTTGGCGCGCCGGTTGAGGCTTGCTACAACGACCTGCTTCGCGGCAGCTGCGGCGGTCCAAATGCCACGGATGCGGTGGCAAATGGAAACAGGTCACCAGCAGTGGCAAGGGATTCAACGGAGAGTTAACTCGTCCGTCAGTTGGATGTTTGTAGAGAAGCAAGGAACTCTCGTCATCGGCGTCACCGGTAGCAGCTAGTC